CCATCCTTGAGCCCTCAGGAGCATCTGCAGCTTCTGGTGCAATACCTTCCCCTAGGGTGTTGGCCACCAACTCACCCAGAGCCCTTTTCCAGTCCTGCTTTTCTGGGTCAGATTTAAAGAGCACCACTGTCTCTCCTTATCTCTTGCTTGATCTCCAAACCAGATATTCTTGCTGTAATTCCCCTCCCCCCCTCCCCCAACGCTTCTCCCTGAAAGGTGAGCTGCCATTTTAGGAAATTGGACCAGGCACCCACTTGGGGGCTATTAAGTCAAAGAACCTCAAATCCATCTCTTCCTGTGTAGGGGTGTAAGTCTCTAAAGCTCTCACTCCCACTCCTAGTCTGCATGGAAAATGTACTGTGATTCCCCCACCCGCTGACTACCCTCTTTGTGTGAGTCAACCTGAGTCCCTCTCCTGCCTCTGCCAGCCAACCCCCAACCAGCAATAAGGGTCCAAGCCAGGGCCTCCTGTCCACACTCCTGGCCTCCATCGCACACTACCCATAGGGAACACCTGGATTCCCCACTCTATCCACATACTGTAGCAGTCATTCTCCATCTCTCTCACCTTCTCACCTGTGGTGGTTTATGGGTGTGATGGGGTTTTTAAGATAATTATAAACCAGTAAAAGAAAAAACAACTCTCTTTCTGACCTTGTCCTATTCATTTAATACTGTGAATGTTTGATGTAATTTTTCTTACAACAGTTTCTAAAATCTGTCACTTGCTAGAAGGGAAATGATTCCTCATTTTTAAGAAGATACCTATGTATTCATCCCACCCAGAAACCCTCCCCGGTCCATTATCCCAGGGCAGATGGTTTATTGATTGTAAGTCATGGGTACATAGCTCCTTCCATCAACCCCTGGGGATTATCTAGCTGGCAGATTCTCTCCCCAAGCAGGGCTGATAGGGACTTATGTGTAATTTGATGGGTAAGTATGGTTTGCTGCCCTTTCCTGGAGGCCCAAAGGGTCCTGGCCACTTTCACTCCAAGGGCCATCAGTCATTGAGAAATAGTGATCTGCTTTGCTAATGAGTCAATCTAAAACTTTAAACCTCCCCTTCTACCTCCAACATTAGAATTCATGTGGGCTGGCTCGGCACCTGTGGCTCAAGCAGCTAAGGCGCCAGCCACATACACCTAAGGTGGTGGGTTCGAATCCAGCCCGGGCCCGCCAAACAACAATG